TAACAAGGCGCCACCGGCGCGGCCCCCCGATCAGCTTGAGTGCCGTTTTTGGAGCACTCGTAAGAAGCTCGGGCTGAACTCGAACTCGCCTCCATTTTTCCAGACATCCCTTATGCCCAAATCGAAACATCTTTTTCATTTTAGCAGGGAATGCGGTAGAATTGATCGGTTTAGAAGCAAGACGGTTACTTTCCATTGCTAAATTGTCTTTTGGATCTTGTCCTTTTCAGTTATATGAGCTCTCTGATGACACAAAGCGCAAGGAATGGTTAGATGACTGGTTGAGCTTTATGCATCGAATCGGTGAGTAGAGCTTCTTTTTCTCATGTAAGTGATCTTCCCTCCCGAAACTTTCCCAAAATGAAATTATCGAAATAACCGAGAATACGATTCACCTTTGAATTTTATTTGATACCGTATCACATCGATACGACAATCGTCAAGTGGGCTGTTGCGGTGGTTAATTCTCAGTCGTTGTGGCTGCTTAAGCCGATCGAATATAGAAAGATCTAGCGCTCGCGAGCGCTCGAGCGCCCAAACGCAAACATTGAGCTTCTGATTATATTCAGATTGTTTGACAAGTTGTTCTCGATCATCTAGTGCCGACGGCTCCGCCCTTCAGTCATAGCCCTTCTCCTGACCCCGTGATTGATCATCGATTGATCGAAATGATTATGCCGTAGGGATATAAAGCATACCAGTTGAGTTGAGGGACCAGAACAGCAAGGATAATGCTTCATAAAAGAGTAGCGCTGCACGTAAAAAACCCGCCCTGCAGATCTGAACCTGTCCAGGATAAACAAACTTCCAGCCGCTGCGGAGCATTAGTTAGATGGTATTAGCATAAGAAAACTGACTTCATCAACTAAACTGGTGCCTACAAGTCATTGCAAATACCCACTTAGATTAACATTCGTGATCAGGGGAACCATGAGTGGGGAACATAGCTGTTTCAGTACACCATTTTCTTGAGGGGAACCCTTGCAGATCATTCTTCATCTCATACCGAGTATGGGCTAGATGAACAAGTTCCCGGCGCGGTAACACTGTGTATCAAGGATGGAGCACGCTACCTCAAGCTAAAGGTTAAATTCTACTGTAAAAGTAATGCATTCACAAATATCAAATTCACTAGATAGTCACTTCCCCTCAGCTGATTTCCTTCGGAGGTAACTATCGCAAAAGCGCGGGGTGAAAATTTGATTTTTGGAAGTTCAGCTGATAGATGGTCTTGCCATTGTCCCAACAAGTCCTTTAGCTCATGTAAGTGGCCTATGGGGGAATTTGAGAAGTTGATTTCCTTCAAAGACAAAAGCAGTTCCTGTTTCACCGAGATTCGTCAGCCGGTAGGAGTCACTGCATACGTCTAAAGCCGCAAATGGTTATAGAGGCTAGTGCTGATTCAAACATCGCTACGGTCCCAATTGAAAGTCGATAAGCTCTTGGTCAAGCGTGTTTGTAGCTAGGACAATAGCCAGCGAAAACATGTTAGGCTAGACCATCACCTATGGAAAGCAAAGGGATCCCTCGGTCACTGCTGTCGATGGGTTGAATGGGGAACGAACTGTCGATGAAAAAAAAGGGCTTGAATATGATACGTAGACCCTTCACTCTTTTCACATGCGAGTGTTTTGAGGAAGATCTACATACTCGGAATCAGCATGGAGGATGGATACATATATGAAAAAATGTTGAAAAAAATTCTTTCGATCTCAACTATCGCCGACCTATCGACTTTGGTGCGGTTTTTTCTCCATTCAATATAAATAGGAACATGGAGGTAGAAGGAAAAGACTCAAGATTTTCAATAAAGAATTCTAAGTGCACGGACAGAACATCAAATGTGGTACTTATCATCTACATTGATAAAAATTCACCGCCCGTGCCCAAATTCTAGAGGTGCCAGTGAACTATTTTTTTAAGGTAAGCCTGTGACAAGAATCCCTATCATGGCCAAACAAGTGTTGGATTTATACGAACTATATCGCCTTGTTGTCCAACATGGTGGTCTAGTGGAGATTATCAACAAAAAACTCTGGCGAGAAATAACAAAAGGATTAAATTTGCCGTCTAGTATCACTTCAGCAGCCTTCACGCTTCGTACTCAGTGAGTTGAAGTGTTAACTGTGACAGCTCGATAAGTCAATTCAATCTTGATTATTCAGGTATCAAAAGTACCTCTATGACTATGAGTGCGAAAAAGAGGCCCTATCAAATCCCTCAGACCTTCAAGCCGCTATTGACGGTAACCGACGAGAAGGTAAGTTATACTTGACCTTTGTTGTCAATTACGATTAAGGCTAATGGGTTTCAGGTCGTCGAAATGCCTCAGCGCCAAACTTCGGACCTCTTGGCTATCCATTGCCACACGCGTCTACAGCCGCCAACCTTCTCACGAAGCCCTTCAACGGTCTCGGGATGAGAAACGGTATTTATCGAGTTTTCATATAATGTTCATAGATAGCGAATATTAATAATATTCACTTTTGAAGAGTTCATGGACGACGAAAACGGGTTATCAATGTCATTGCCACAAAATAATCTCCTGGCAGCCTACCGAGCCGAGCAAATGGCCATGTTCGAGGCTCAGCAACGACAAATGGAACGGGCACAACGGTACGTCAAAAATGTTCCGCAATTATTAGATTAGCAGGCATGAATGCCAACTGGCTGAGCTTCGCATGGCAAAAACTTATCTGGTTGTAAGATGTTTTCGATCCGGCAATAATCACCGTTCAATTCAGAGCAGCCGCTGAAGCAGTGGCTCGGCATGGAGCTGTGACGTTGGCGCAATCAGGACGTGCCTCTCCGTCCTCAGTAGATTCTGAAGCGCCGGCGAAACGAGCACGATTAGCAGAACCGTCCACTGATGCGCCTGCAAGTACCGGTGGACAAATGAAAATAACCACGCGAAAACCAGGTAGCTTATAGATCTTGAAAACTCATTCAGAAAGGTGCCAGCTACAGTAATCGCGAGCCTGATCTAGACGGACGCGCGCGGTTGCGTTGCGGCACATGAACTTCCAAAATTGTTCACTCGGTCGCCCCTCTATTTTTGAAGGGAGGAGGGAAAAAAGAAAAAAAACGGTGCTGCAGTGGGTACAGTTAACGCGACGCAACCGCACGCGACGCTAACTCTCGGGTAGCTTGAACTTTGATGATCTTTTTGCTGGCTTTCGTCCATATTGAAGCATATTTGATCTTTAGAAGGCCAACAAGCAGACAATTCTATGGTGGTGTCGATGGAAATCAACGGCGTCACTTACCAAGGAGTACTGTTTGCCCTGGAAGACAGTAGCAAAACCTAACAATACTCAAATATATTGCTAATAACAATTGGATATTGTGAATATCATCAACGAACTTAGCTAGGAGTCTCTTTGTGATTTTACTCGAGTCTGTTTCACCGCTCTCAGTTAGCCCTATGACGCTGCTGCACAGTTAGCCACCATGGCTTCGCTTCAGTTCCAGCTGGCGAAGCTTGTGCTGTTGTATATGAATCTGGTCCTGGATGGGAGCCACCCAATTCCCTTTGCCTCTTATTATATCCAAGCAAGTCTGATTTTCGACAGCTGTGTTCGGTTTTCCATTTCGAACGACCATCATTAAGGTCGTAAATCAGGGAAAGCATCCATATCACGGAGGTCTGGCTGATCCCTCCTGAGGCAGAGAAACAGAGTCAAATGTTAGAGACGCAGAGGGCAGATAAGTTGTGTGATTTGGCGCGCATCCTCTGCGTCTCTTACGTGGGACCCTGTTTCTCTGGTGTATGGTTGAACGGTTGTTGGAACCGGCAAAGGCAGTGAAACAGACTATAGTTTTTGTAATTTCTGTTGAACCCTATGTCAGAAATTGGGCACTCCGGATATAGTCTGTTCCCATACGGGCTGAACTTATGACTAGGATTTGGGGAACACCAAAATTTCACGTTCCTTGCATTTATCACACGATTGGCTGTTTCTTTGTTCTCGCAATATTGCGGACATCGTGATACGGTAAGCTCGTTTGAAGGATGGACTATATCCAAAACGATTTCTGACTTACTTAGTGAAGAACTTATTTTGCCGAGCTTGTCGGAGTGATTCCGACCGACATAACCATTGATTTAGAATATTGATTTTCTCGATCAAATATTGACGTGGTGTAATTTTCGTTGGGAAATCAATACGTCGTGTTCGCCATGTACCTTCCCCTACATACCGTACTCCCGAGTTTCATGACATTTCAAAACATATGGTTGTTTCAGTTTGTGTGTGCATTGTTTTCGTCACAAATCGATTGTTCTCGGATGTATTGATTTATTGATTATTTCTTCTAAAGTGAGTGTAGGGAGATTTGTCTCTATATCGTTATAGATTAAGAGTGATGATTGTACAAGAGATGATTATGAAAATCATCAGCTTTTTTCGATGATTTCTAGTTGTGAGCTTATACTTGGTGACACCATTCTTTTTATTGTATTTATTTTTATGTTTTCATTATGTTGACAAACATTGATAATTGGCTGTCGGTCAAAAGGAGCTGCCAGGAGGTGATTACACTTCTTTTGAAGGCTTATCTACGAGCTTTCTATCATAGTGCGCCTCATTTAGCCGATAGCACTACCACGGTTTAGATATAGATGAACGAATCGATTCGAAACATTTCCCCTTGAATTTCTTCTCTGATTCATCCTAATGTAACGTTCATAAAGACGTTTTAAATATTGTTTATGTCTTGTTTCCATTATCGAAATCCCTACGTTAGGGTGCAGTTTCCCATATTTGCGTATAAAAACCTTTAAAGTTCTAACTGAAACGTTGGCGCAGCGCAAACCCGTTGCGTACTGTCCGTGCGTCGGAGAGTATGGAGACGGGAGGGGGTAGGAGGAGGGGGAGGCAGGAGGGCCCCCGACTCGTATTCTTAAGTAATTTGAGCTTACTGCTTAATTTGTGACAAGAAATAGTTGTACGTTGATCTATTGAATCAACTGTAAACTTCTTTCTGTTAAACCTCCAAGTTGGGGTGACCCCCACCCCTCTTAATAAGGAGCCTCCAGGTCCACTGAATTGGATTTGCTTTTTTGGGAGCATCATTTGACAGCAACTACAATTGTTGACAACGTACAACGCTAGAAGGAGTAGAGAGTGGAAGTCCATGGTTTTCCAGTCGTATTATCCCTAACATAGTAGCATACAGCTTCGGTATCGGTATGGTCTGAGCTACTGCTGCACTAGTGCCAAATCCAAGTCTTTCCAGAGCCACCTGTTTTCGAATATCGCGCTCTTTGACAAGGGCAAGTCACGTAGCGAAAGCAGTTAAGGCGGATTTTTATAAAACTCCAAAAGCATGAACAGTATCTGCCTTTGAGCTAAAAAACTAAAACTCGTTCTTGTGGGAGAGTCATGCAACCATTGGGAAGGGTGTTTTCAGGCGAGCTACAAGCCATCTTGAGCAGCTCAAATTCTGCTACACATCCTTGTTAGGGACTTATCCTTACACTGCCTAGTGCTTCATTTGTGCCCCTCCCCCGATCCCTACTCCACAATGGCGCTCTCACGGGATTCGTGGTTGACTCCACTGATATTGACCATTGACCTTGCCTTTGATGCTTGGTAACTACATATTTCCGAACTAACTCAAGGATTGTGCACCTCTCAACGTCTAAAGGATAAAGGATGAAGTTTTGAGGTGTTGATCGATCCCGTCTGAAGAATACGCCCACGCATTCGACTTCCATTCAAAATCATAGTGACGTATTGAATGCGTGTGGTCGATACAAAACTTGCGGTGGTCAGCCTATGTACAAGTCAGTGCTCCTATCCTCCTAGAGCCACTTGCCACTACAAAACCTCCGCCCAACTCTCAACGTACTATCAGCAAAATATTTGTGTTTACAACCGGTATGCCTTGCTGATTTCGCTACCTAAGTCAGCCTCATTTGCACACTATTGCTTACCAATGAAGGTTGAATCAATCGTATTACTTCTCCCATGCTTCTTAACTCAAAGCCTTATGGAAACAACAGCGAATGCGACAGACGGCACTAATGTCACTAGCTTACCGAATGCGACAGACGACACCAATATCACTAGCCCAGGAACGGCTCCATTGAGAGCGCGTCTCCCCGTAAAGCGTAGTCACCTTGAATCTGAGGATCAATACGATCAAGATGTAAGTTCTATATATTGCACACTATTGTTGATTTCCTGAGTAATTTGTTGGAAAATCCGATAAGTGGAAATATTTCAGTCGGATGTCTCCGAACTAGAAAAACAGAAAGATGTCCCCACACTGGAAATACGCGCCGAGCAGGAGATTGCTTATCGCTACGGAGGACGAGCGACATTCATTGACGAAGGGCTCACAACTGAAGCAACTCCCGATGGACTCTCCAGTTCGGATTCGGACAGAATCGTTAGTCAGATAAATTTCTTGGGTTTTTTCGTAGGAGGCGTTAGAATCGAGCGACATGCTGGTCAAAGAGCGAAAAAACTACGACTACGGTGCAACGCACTTAGAAATGTGATTCCAAAAGGCTTCTTCCTGATTGCTAGGTGCGTTATCCCGTCAGTGCATGCATTTGTGATTGGTGGGCTGTCAGTGTTGGCCAATAAGAAGTCTCTCAGTTATTCTGCTGAAATATTTTAGGATACAATAGCAGTCCTCCAAGAAGGTCGTGAAACGATCGGAAAGCCATGCTCGGTAGAACATATGTCGTATGTAGCAAGAAACGAGGAAGCCGGTTGTACAGGTGCCGTTGGTGGGTGACTAAAGATGTTCCTTGGCTTCGTTTCACCGTTTCAGAGCTTTCAATGAAGAGTTCGGGTTTCAGAGTTCTCGAACGAGGTGTGTGAAGCATTCTTCAAGTGCATGAGCGGTGGTGAAATGTTGCTGATCTGTAGGAATATGTATGTGTGATAAATTCGTATATCTCGGTAGTGTACCGTAAGACCAGGCGCGGATTTTTCGCGTGCGACAAGCGGAATATTCGCGCGGCAGTCTCAGTCTGCCGCCCAAATGTGCTGCTTCAAGAAAAATTCGTACTCTCTCTCTGACGAAAAGCATTCCCTTACGGGTAAAGACGTACAATCCAGTATTATACTTGGAATTTCAGGGTCTGCTCAGAATTCGCAAGACTCCGACCACCATCACAATGCATAGATAACCTTTTTCCATGTGATTAATAATAAAATTTTCAATGGCTATGGAATCAGAGCATCGGCATTCACTTAAGTTTTGTGCTCAACAAGGAGAGTCACACCATTTCCTTCAGCTGAAATGCCCTAATCGTGTCTTATAGTCAGAGGTTTGATATTAGCACATATGTACATACAAGAGTCTTCCTTATATGTAAGGCAGTGCCCTGGGCTCGGTTTGTTGGTCGATCTATCGATTTGTCGGTGAATCCATTCTTCCACAAACCTTCCCATAACTACGGCAAAGGTAGTAATAGGGAGAACCAAGGGTGGCGGTGTTTTTTCTCGAATTCCCACAGTGATTCCGCGGCCGACTATCGCGTCCTCCACTGTTAGCTGGAACCCCTTTGTTTAGAGAGCGCGACTGCGCGCGATCTGGTGCGGCGAGCGCCACCAGATCGCGCGCGGTTTTCGGGGAGAAGTTACCACATTCGAAAGCTCATAATAAAATGTGGTTGTGACAGTCATATATAGTCACGGTAACGGATATCAACTAATATCGATTTGTGGCGTAGTGGGACTTCCAATTACTACTAAACTCGTTTCTGAAGTAGAGCAACTACGTCATTTTGCAAAGGTTCAGTTACGGGGTGGACCTACAATCAGAACGAGACTGTCATCGGGTACAGCCAGGGCACTCTTGGCAAATGATATCAGTCTATACTAACAATTAAGGAGGACCTTCATCAGTTCATAGGGGAGTGCGAGCTGTCAGTTAGAAGTAGGGTTAGAGATGTCTTTAGAGTAATACGTATAAGGGAAGATAAGGCAGCATTTGGTTACCCGATCTCAGACCTCGATTGAGAGCGGGATTTCAGTGTCTGTGGTGGGACGCTGGTGAGTATGTATTGATGTAAAGCTAGGATAAGGAGAGTTCCTATCCCTATTGCAACCCCTCCATTAAAACTTCGCCATTCGCCAAACAAACGCTATGGCTGCAATAGGTGACAAGAGCTCTACTCTTACGAGTACAAATTACTGTTTAAGCCGCGATACTGGTAACCGTTTGATCTTCAGATCTTCTGCAGCACCTGTCTGATAGATTGGTCCTCTTGATCTCCTATCATCGATGGGTAAAAAAAAGAATCGCTCAAATTGAAATCGAGGGACTGGCAAAAAATTAGAGATTGTGAGTAATGAGGAGGGCACAGAGTACGGCGCCAGAGCCGACGAAACGAGGGACCGACCGCATCGACTAGGTAGATCGACAGCGGCTACAGTACCCACAAAAAGGATGTGTCAAGATCACGACGAATTTTTTTTCAAAAAATTCCTATACAAAAGTTTTGTATTCATATAGAGAATTCTACACTGAGTATGAATATTCAGTCCATTTTCCAGGTAATTGAAATTTCGGAGGAGAAAATGGTATTACTATTACTCAACTCACCAAGGGGTGAAAGGACAATGCAAATGGGACCATATGGGACAAAAATCAAAAGTCAACCCTAAAATTCCAACTGTTTTGCTCCATTTCTACCTTAACTTCAACCATTTCGAAGGGTCCAGGAGAACGACTCCGACTTTCAACCTTGAGCATGAACGGTGTTGATTTACTCTAAACAGTCTGCAAATCCAGTACAAACGATTACAGCATTCCCAACAAACTCTCCGATAAACAATTCATTAATCTTTCTATATGACTTTTAAGTAAACAAAAAGTACAGCAGAAGTTGGCAGTCAGCGATTACTATTGGCCTATTCCTAACTGTCGAGACCTCTTCTTCTGTGATCTCTAACATTCTCCAGCAGATAAAGCATTTTACCTGAAAATAAGCCACTAGACAGTTATTAAAGCCTATGTAGATTATACACAGCTTATTTAGACGTATCAAAGCAAATGGACAAACCGATAAGGTTTGGAGGTAGAAACCGTTGCTTGGAGAAGCCCTCGTCGAGAGTTTTTCTCATTTTCATCTCTCGTTGAGATCGAATCATCTGATTACAGAAAAAATCAGTTGAAACACCTCACTACTACCAACATTTGTCTGGCAGGGCGAGACTCATAGGACAAGGGTGCATCGAACAGGCGATCGGGGTGCTTTTGGGCGGATCTCAACACTGGTGGGTGGAGATAGCAATAATTTAGCTTTCATTCCGCCATTTCCAGACCACAGTCCGTCAGGAAAACCGTACATCTACTCCTCAGAAGCGAAAATTCGTTGCTAATTTGTACTCAATCCGATCGTGAACCATGCCTTCAGGCTTATGAGCTTCTGATTACAGCGAGGGCACCTGTGTATACCAATATCGTCAGTCCAAAAATTACCATGGTTCAGAATATGCCCATGTCTTCAAATAAAAGGTTTTGTGAAATTCCTGTATGTCAGCTTGATTTACACGATGAAATGAGAATGACAGAAAAACTTCGGTCTATTACCCTCTATCAATTCCCGGAATATAACATTAGCTCAATATTTGAGGACTCATAGCTAGTTGTCTCACTACTCAGTGCGCGGCGATTCTTAGCTAGTTGTCTCACATCCCCATCCTTCCATGATCATTGGCGTCAATCAATAGCAAACCGTTACCTTTTTCATTACAAAGTGAAGCAAAGAAAATGCAATCAGCAGATTCATCAAGTCATATGTACAAAAGAACATGGTGCCAAGGGAATTCCTGAATAAGCTCTATTTTTTCCGAACACCCGAGAGAAAATTGAAATTTGTCCAAAACAAAACGACCAAAAACCAAAAGAATAACAACAAACTCACCATCGACCATGTTTAGAAATTGTCATCATTGACCCTGAAAATATCTGAATTGCCAAGTTTTAGGTAAAAAAAAACTTTTTAATGGCTGGGGATTGAAGAAGCTAAGTGTGAAATGGGTACAAAAAAAGTAAAATCAACCTACCCTGCCTGAAGGCGTCAACAGAGGCTACTAAAAAGTCTCCTTTTTCATTGAGAAATAGGTAGTCGTTGTCAACTGGTATTTATAAATATCAGACGGTGCTTTGGCAATCTCTACTTAGTTGTCTTTTGACGCCAAGAACTGTCAAGCTGTTGCTGTGGACCAATTCCGAATGAATCAGCCTCAGAGCGATGATTCCCTGAAAAGGATTAGTGGAGAATCATAGGGACGTGCATTACTATCAGTTTTCATTAACAGCGGCGGTCGGAAAGCGAATGTAATACTCGTTACTTCTCAACATTGCTATTGCGAACTCGTCCGAGAGCGCACCTTTTCATGATGTGGCTTCGACGAATGACTAAAACCCGACTTTCTTAAGAAGAGTTTCTGAAATAGAAACAAAAACTCTAAGAAATTTCAGGATTCTCTGCTTAATAAGTATTCTTCTGTGGAGTCTAGAATTTTCGTCGAGGTTTTTTCAGTAGTTTTTTTTTTGTTATGATATCTTGAGCAGCTAAAAAAAAATAAATGCAAATCCTGCCTAAATATACCTCACCCTAAAGTCTTCCTGCTGAAATGCTCTACCAATACTGCTTCGCTTACAGATGATCTTACTACGTTTTCGTAAATCATCTTGAAGGGCCAGATTGATGATGTGATCCAGATCGCGGAGTGTTCTTCGAAGATGTTTTGGTGAGACCTGAATAGATAAATTGCGTTTGTTGACAAACTGAGGATAGAGCTGTGCAACCGACTTTAACTCAAGACAGAGAAATGTTTGGGTGATTTTCTGGCCTAAGTTGATTGTGGTCATGTTATATCAAATAATTGAATTGGTCCCGAAAATACAAACACGATTTTTTTTGCGGAAAAATAAAACTTGAGCAGGTTTCGAGTGGTTACCTGCTAACCTCTCACAAACAGCATCCCTCGTCTCCTGTGAAGTTTCCCCTTGAATGTCTGCCTAATTTTTTTGTTGATAAATAATTAGTTAGCATTGCATAAGAAATTTTAGGGAACAGGAAAACCAAGAAGTGGAGGTTGCCGTCTACATGATCCAGAGATCGATTCCCCAACAATAATACTAAATTTAATACTCGCGAAATTTCTTATATTGGTTAAACATTTATTCAAAAGTGTTCAAGACTCCGATTCAAAGCAACATGCATGGCGCATCCCTGTGCAATGCATCCACGCAGGCCGTTCTATCTTGTAACCTCTCAGTAGCTGTTGTTGAAATGTTATCAAAAAGGAAACATATTAATCGAGTAAGAACGTACATTGAGATTCTTCGCAACCAGTTGTACGAGTTGTTGTACAGTCAAAGAATCCGCTCCAAACCATATACTCTTTTTACGGAGAGCCACTTTCTTCCTTCAAGTTACGAATCAATTCAACAATTAAGCTCCTCCGAAACCTAGCAGAGTTCCTACCTGCCCAGATAGTGCACCCATTCTGCATGATGTACCAATGAATTCACAAACATTGACATTATAATAATACCAAAGGCGAGATACGCTATCAATACCACCGTGTCGATATCGCTTTTCGGTTTCACAATGACGTCACCGAAGCCAATTGTTGTAATCGAAACAAAGCTAAATAGCAAAATAGTTGTAGCTCGATTACACTGAAATACCATGCAGAACAGGAGTTTTCGCATTCCTTTTTGCTGGCCCAGATTGGCAGCGTTTTGAAGAAAGACAATTTGGCCTCTACCCTTGCCCGACGGTTTTTGTAGAGGTGATTTCGATTCCTTTTTTTTTCTCACAGATTAACTAATTTTTTCAAAAAGCGTTGGATTTCAACCAACAATAATTACCTCTACGGCCGTGAAGAGGAGATATAAACCCCTCAGTAACTACCTTTTGGAACACTTTCGTGAACAAGTTTTACTGACAGCAATATCAGGGCACTTCATCACAAGATCAAGTTGATAACTCAGTTTTGAGAACAAGGCGGCATGTGATTTTTGCTTTTCTTTCATTTTTAGAGCCATTTCAGTCAGTTTTCTCAGATTATCGGGAACGTTGAGTTTAAGATGTACCTGAAGTATACTGATGTTAGGAATGGCAGTTCATCAATCCAGTAACAGAAGAGAAAACCACCAACGAGGGCATGAAGAAGTAGGAACACAGTAATAATCGGTACAGGAACTTTACGTCGTGATTCTGGATCGACTTTCTAGAAAGAGAAGTCACAAAAAATGGAAGAAAACATTGACAAAAATGAAGAAGATATCATTTCCAAATACATATCAACGAGAATTAGAGTATCAACTAATACAGAACTGTTTAGGTTGGTTAACAACCATGACAACTCGTCCTTTACTTTGAACTCGGGAGATTTCGAATGATCCAGGTTGATCCATACCCTTGCTTGTTACTACTTATCAATTTCAACCTCATACAAGGATCAATGACGTTTTTATTTTTATAGATAGATATGTAAGAGAAGACTCACTAAGTTGAATACACTCAGCGTAAGTGTCCAGTGGAATTCAGCAAATAGTTGGCCAATATGTGTGAGTGCCAACAGTAACAGTGGAATTCCAACACTTACGTAGAACATACAAAAGATTTTACTCAACGTGTTCCCTGGGCTAACGTCGCCATAACCTGAAAACGTGAAATTCCCCAAAGAAGTTGCCTGGTGTAGTAATAGAAGAGCTGCAGAAGGGCTGAATGCAACACTCTGCTTTCTATACCGTTTACGTATACAGAGGTGATAATTTCTTTAGAATATTGATTGTTTGTGAAAAGGGAGCAGGTACAGTGGTCGAAGGAGACGTCGTAGGTCCACTTACAGAAAACATTTCCAAAAGATCCAAAAAGATCGAATCTTGGATTCCAATTAAACGTACCCCCCCCCCTTTCCCTCTCCCCCTCCCACCTCCCCCTTTTCACAGAAAACATTGAATGCAGCCGGACTTAATAACCTCTAGGCTGATAAGGCGTGTGCCTGCAACACTTTATATTTTGCAAAATCAGAGCTCACATTCAAATTTTTCACTGACCTATAGTAGTAAGTGTAGAGAATACAAAAAAGCATCTACTAGCAAAATCATGATCCGAAATCGATTCATCAATAAGAGAAAATGCAGCGGCTCCGCCCATCACGTACAAAATCGATAATATAGAAATGATAATATAGGGAAGGGATGCAATGATTAGCTGAAATGCATTCGTAAAAATTATCTAAAGAGAACAAACAAGTCGCTCAACCTTCTCAACGCTTTGGGATGCGCCATGCACTTAGTTTCTTCTCAGATCTATGAGCATATC